GAACCCACTTATGTATTATACTATTCTATTATACCTGTATTTATTAAAATAATAATATCCTCTTTTATTTTTTACATAATTAAATAAGTAGACATTGGTCTTGATTCTGCCACAGAACATTTCTTATACAGGGTGTAAGGAAAAGTAGGTAGTACGTTCCATTTAACCACGAGTTCTGCAGGTATAACAAAATGTCTTGACCATGTCAAAAAATAAAAAAAAGTATTTTTAATAAAACATAATTTAGAAAAAGTTTTTATTTAATTTATTCAACCCTAGGTCTGAGCGCGACATATCGCATTGTTACAGTCACATCCGGCTGTGGTTGCACCGTTGTAGACCTTATTGCGCACGGCGAAGGGACAGTGAAAAGTTATCGGGTGGTAGGTAATTGACTGAACAGACACTGAACACAGTGCTGTGTTGTAGGGTTGAATAACTTACCTAAAATTTTAGAAATGTTCTAATATTTTTAATAAATTGTTTGATGTCCCTAAATACACTTCATGAATGCTTTATTACACCTATAGATAGAACGTGTGGTTTGAAGAAGGAACGTACTACTTTTCCTAAGCTATTCTGCACTTGCAATGCAATGCAAGTGACTTACCTCTTGTATACGAGTATAATTCTAATTGTGTGCCATAGTTTAAGCGTAGGTTTAAGGGTAGGTTAGGTATCGACAAAGGATGCAAAAAAAAAATCGTATTTTTTGTTAACGCTTAGCCAAGATTTAATTTAAATGCCAAGATTCATTCAAACCAAAGATTCAAACTCAAAGTTGATTAGACGAAAGTACTTGTATTGGCACTCTCTAAACGACAAAAGCGTCAAAAAATATTGTCAGAGAAAAGTAAACAAAATTTCAATATTTCGGCTAAGACCAAAAAAATATACTTATTTATAACCAGGTGTACCTACTATACCTACCCTGAAGTTATGGCACGCATTTAAATTAACACCCTGTATTATCTTAAAGGTTTATCATTCATTTCATACTTGGTGTTTTCTGTTTTCTTTTACTTATTTATGAAAGTAACAGAAACGCTCGCTCGATATCAAGGAATTTGATACGCGATGTATCATCATCACCTTACTTCTAAATCACTATTTATTATACCTATGACTAGGATTAACTTAATTGAAAATTTTCATTTCCGTGTCTCCAAATCGTCTGTTATATAAGAATAAAGGATAAAATTTATATTATTTGTTAAAATAATAATGTAATATTTTCCTACTGTAAATGATAATTACTTACTTACACAAGTTATTTTAGATATAAATTGTCTTACGATCAATTTATTAATCTTATAGTACTATAAGTACAGGCAGAACAGGACCATCTTCTTCCAATTATTACCGATTCGTGTAATTATTTTAAATTACTTCACAGTAAAACCTGATATTACGGGAAAAAATACATATTCTCTGTTTCTATCTCATGTAAGTGACAAAAATAAACTATGGGAGCGCGTCGTATCAGAATTGAGCCCACGATCTTTACCATTTGTACCTGCTCAACTGAGATCTTCAAACAGTTTCCTTCCCCGAGCGGTACATGTCTCCAATGATGCGCTCCACGGGTATGTCTCCGATGGTGGCCCTGAAGAACAGCTCCACGATGGTCTGCCCCGGGACCTGGCGAGCTGAGCTCACCGCCTGCATCAGGCAACTGGCACGAGACGCGTCCAACGGGTACGTCCGGCTCGTGTACTGAAATCATGCAAGGGTTGTTAGAAAAAGAAAAACAACGAAAGAAGAAAAAATTTACTTTTTCGATCTGTCTTAAAATCACGAGCTGATTTTCAGATTCAAGAAATAAGTAATTTTTAGCTCACCTCATTGAGTACTGCCTGTGAATGATCCTGCAACGCAGCGACAGCGGAAATATCTTGCAACCTTTTCTGGTCTGCTTGACTTGGACTTCCACTGCCACTCTTTTCCCCGAAATTTGTCTTGAACAACACTATCGCTCGTAAGCACGCGTACTCGTGACTATCGGGACATATCTTTGCAAACTCTGCTAATGCCTTCTCAAAGTTCTCCACGTCTTTCAATTCGACTCTAGGATTCTTCTCGTTCAAAAGCATCTTCAAATCCATTGGGTACAGAAACTGCGCGGAGCCAATCACAAATAAGTCTCTCCAGGATTCTTCTAGAAGTAATAGTCTATCCGACAGGGACAATGACGTGAATGCAGGGACGTTCTTAGCCCATTTGACGTTCATGAATAAGAGCCGAGCAGCTGCTTCACACATCGCGTCTGGGTCTTGTGGCGTTAGTAGCGACGACGTGATGGGCGGTGGTGTGGGTGCTTTGGGAAAACAAGGTGGAAACATAGGGGTGAGCATGTTTAACCTGTACGGATACGCGCCAGAGAATAACCCTATGGGCGGGGGTGGCAGCAAGCCGTGCTTCGGCATTGCAAGGTCTAATACTGGAGGCGCAGATATATCCATATCAGATGTCGGCATAGCGGGGTCTTTTAAAAACAGTGCCATTTGTCGTCGAAGGGTAGAGTTGCGAGGGCCTCTTTCGTGTTGAACGGCTGTAACAAGAGGTTCCCATTATTTTGAAGAAAAGTTTATTTTTAAAATGTGATAGGTATGTAATGTTAACGTGAGGTTCGGAACAGGATAAGTACCATCTTTATTCATGCCAGCGTCAAGGCACTTGGCAAGTCTGCAGGCGCGGCACTGGTTCCTATGCGCCTTGTCCACGAGGCAGGCGCCTGGTCTGCGCGCCTTGCAGGCGTACTGGCGGTCGCGTCGCACCGAGCGCTTGAAGAACCCTGCGCACCCGTCACACGCGAACACTCCGTAATGCTTCCCCGACGAGTGGTCCCGGCAGACAGCGCACGGAACGTCGTACAGGATCCGACCTGCACAATGAAATAAGAAACTGCTTAAAACTGACTTCAATTGAGCTGTCCCCTCGATTTCACTATAGGTTCTCATCATCATACGCTTTCAAATATAAAACGATTTTTCAAATTGGGCCAGTATCACTCGCTGAATAGTACTAGTAGATGAAGCAACTACCTACCAACCTAACCTACATTTAAAAAAATTTGAAGAAATGGAGAATCTTACCACCAGCATCCATCTTTTAAACGCCAATTATAAAGGTAAATAGTTATTCGTATCGTATAAAACGACGAACGACGATCATAAATCAATTTGACGGTAAAGTGTCACAATTATGCTAGTGATTTCCAGTACAATGTCACGTCAAAAGACATAACGACTTGGGCAGGGTGCGTCGGAGCCCCGCCTCCGAGCGGCACCCCTCGGCAATTACCACGTTCGATTCCCGGCGAGCCACGACTGCGAAAAGCGCAAACCGTTGCAACACTACCAATTAATACTTTTCGTAATGTATTCACGATCGATGAGCTTTTAATTATGAATAATATTCGCACCTAGTTACCTAAATAAGTATAAAATGGTTGTGCAGGTCATGAACGGCATTCTCAGAAGTTTATGCGCAAAAACCGACACAGAATCGACATTTCAATTCGGCATTACTCCGCATTTAGGATGTCGACAACAAAAGCGTGTTTTTTGTCGCGGAGCTCATCATACGATCTGTAAATACGATCCCACGGGCAGCGCGCCGTTTAGCAACGCAGAGATAATACGCCTTTATTAATACACCTCCAAACAGACCTTCAGTCGAGAAGGCACAAAGGCATTTCCATTGAAACCACCCCATTCCATACACTGCACGTGAATACACTTGTGGAGCAGGAAACGCGGTGTCGAATGTAAGATCAAGTAAAAAAAAGATTCACAAAACTGCCGTCTTTAGACAAAGGGGGATATAAAAGCCAAGAAGTGGGGCTTGGGAACAATTTGAGGCGACTCAATAAAACGTCTGTTGGCGATAGATAATGACAGGTTCGAGCAGGGCGGATTGGACGGAATTAAGTATTCGTATTTGTTTTGCAATTTAAATGGAGCGTGTGAATTCGTTTCTGATGAAGTGATGAGATTTTTGCAGCTTTTAACATTGGAACTTACTTGGTGAACTTAATTTTTCTTTGTCCTTTTCACACTTGTTTATTTAGATTTGAATGATTTCCTACAGCCGCAACAGTCCACTGCTGAACATGGGCCTCCCCAATTGGGGGATATTGCCAATAGACAAAACAAAAAAAAACTACCTAATAGGTATGATAATTATGACAAAAGTATTGTTTAAAACGGGATTATTACCGTGATTAGATTTTTGTTTACCTCGATATACTTGACAATGAAAGCTTATGAAATGCTGTACATGTTGACTCTTTACCTATCCCCAGTCGTTGTCCAGTTATGAGAATTAAATACTTTGGAAATTCCCCAACCCTTAGTAAAAACTGTCAAGACTAAATAACCCTTAAAATGGGAATTAGTAAAAACTGTCAAGACTAAATAATCCAAATATGTAGAAAATTGTATAAGCTTTCATTGTCTAGCACAACAACATTTTGCACAATGTATCATTTTCGAAATTTAAGCAGATAACCAATTCTTTGTGCTTTGCCCAAGGCGAGTAGGCGCCCAGCCTCGGAGAGATGGGGTATTTTAGTATGTTTGTCTCCCCAAGAGACCAAACAAAGTTCCATCGTTAAATTTGATCCGGATTTTCCAGCAAGAATCATTCATTGGCCACTCTTTGGAACAATGTATTGGATTTTTTTTAATGGACTCAATGCGCAATATTATTCTCATAAATTGAAATTGAGCGGTGGAACGGTGATCCACTGTCCCGGGTTCAAGTCCCGGCGGTCGCTAGTAAATTTTTCAATATTCTCATTTTCAATTTATGAGAATAATATTGCGCTGTGAGTGCATTAAAATAATCCAATACATTGGTTTAAGCAAGCTTCATCATATGGTTTGAATTATACTCATAATGTGGACTAACAAGTTCTAAATACTTTCTACAGATGTCGCTGGATCGTCGCTTCGAGACGAGCATCTAGAGTTTAAAAAATCACCAGGGTCCGCTAGGCGCCCGTAGGTCAGTCGGTAGAGTGGTGGAACGATGATCCACAGTCCCGGGTTCAAGTCCCGGCGGTTGCTAGTGAAATTTTCAATTTTCTCATTTTCTACATTGGAACAATGTTTGACAGTGAATGAGTTGTGAACCTTTTTGTGCACTTACACATTTTTAAAAACAGTGTACCTACTCGTAATATACAGAAAATATATTACATTAAACAGACGATTCTTGAAGACATAGGCAACCGCAACCGAACCAATACTGAAATTGCACAAAGACAAAGGTACCTCAGACCTTACATTAAGAACACTAACGAAGCAAGCAACTTATAACAAGCAGTGTCATCATCAATCGGTCAGGCTACTCAATTCATGGCGTCCACTCGACAGGGTGTTAATTTAAATGCGTACCATAGCTTCAGGGTCGGTTTAGCATCGATAAAGAATGCCGTAAATAATATTGAAATTTTATCCTACGCAAAAAAAAAATCTTAACAAAAATTTTAATAATTCGTACTATTTTTGAAAAAATAAACTTGTGACACTTTTGTTGTTAAGAGAGTGTCTACCGGGAGTAACGGAAAGGGTATAACAAGCTGAAAGGAGGTCAAGGTACTCATGAAACTGAACAACTTTCCCCATGGAAAATGGGTCGAAATATGAAGAAAAAAATTTGGACCTTCCATACAAAATTGCCGATCAGCTAGTTCATTTACTATGGGAGGTCCAATTTTTTTTTCATATTTCGACCCATGTTCCATGGGGAAAGTTGTTCAGTTTCATGAGTACCTTGACCTCCTTTCGGCTTGTTATACCCTTTCTGTTACTCCCTGTATAAAAATACGTATGTCTTATCAACTTTGAGTTTAAACGAATCTTGGCTGAGATAAAGGCATTTGAATCAAATTCTGGCTAAAGTAAGAATTTCTTTTTCGTCCAGTATATTTTTCAATATTTTACGGCAATCTTTATCGATGCTTAACCTATCCTTTAATTCTGGCACGCAATTAAATTAACACCCTGTATTGCTTTCGGGATGCGTAGGTAGGCAGCTAGGGGTGTCTCTTCTTAATTATACTTTTTTTAAACGTGAGGATGATACATTTCACCGAATTCCCACAATAATTTAAATCGTGTTAACATTGCGTGCCGGTAACGGCTGATTAGTGACTAGCAGTCGGTTACTTTATTGGGGTCAGTTATCTTTGTTGACAAATTGTAGGTTATTGTATTTTAGTAGTTTAATTACAGTTTTGAAATATTTTGCTTTTAATTGTTTTAAAATCTACCTACAGTACAACATTAAGTTGGGAATGAAGCTCTGAAGCCCTGAAAGCGGGTAGGAAGTAAATGAAAGGCTTATTTTTATGTCATTGTGACGGTTTGACACAGACTCTACAATCATATGAATCCTTAGTCAGAAGTTCTGAACCAAAGTAGTTACTAGCATAGGTACTACGAGTAGAAGAAAAAATATGGTTGTGTAATGCTAATGTGTTACGATTACGACCTCCATCAATGTTAACATTAATTAGACAGCTAGCCCTTCGAAGCGTGGAACCATATTTAGTTCTATCAAGTGTCCTGACCTGACCAAACTTGTAACAAGTCGAAATGCCATTACAAATGTGAAAACACACGATAATTGGAGCGGACAATGATGGGGAGTAAATGAGCGGTAGGTATCTACAGATCTGCAAAAAAAGCAGGGAATCATATTTAGCTCTATCAAGTGGTTTAGCAATGTCCTGACCTGACCAAACTTGTAACAAGTCGAAATCCCATTACAAATGTGAAAACACATGATAATTGGAGCGGACAATGATGGGGAGTAAATGAGCGGTATCTACAGATCTGCAAAAAAGGCAGGGAATCATATTTAGCTCTATCAAGTGGTTCAGCAATGTCCTGACCTGACCTGACCAAACTTGTAACAAGTCGAAATCCCATTACAAATGTGAAAACACATGATAATTGGAGCGGACAATGATGGGGAGTAAATGAGCGGTATCGATAGATCTCGCGGGGGACAGTGGGAGCCGGCAGATGCGCGCGCGTACCTCGTGGGAATACCGCGTCCTGCGACGCATACAAACACGTACGATTGAGAGCAATTTATTACGATGAAATTACGTTATTAGCATGTTAGTCAACTTCAACAGGCCACATTATTTTCAAAGTATAAACAGAGTGTGTTTATTGTTTTGCGATATTCTTTAGATAACCTTTTATAATAATATATTAAGTACTCTCCGCGAAGGGGAGGGCCATGTCCATCAGTGCACTTTGTGCTGTAAATGGACTATGTATGTACCTATATTATGATACGATTTACTTTTATGGTAAAACGTAATACACTTCCCATCACAAAAATCGAAACACCTCGGTTTTCCTTGTTTTCGGCCGAATTAAACACCAAAAAGTATTGTTTGCATTAAAAAAATTATATGACTGTGTAGCTGGCAGTTTTGTCTTTTCAGTGTGTATAAAAAAATTCAAAATTCAAAATTGGAACCCCACCTGTTTGTTCTGCAAATGAGATGAATGACTGATACACGTTTGCAGTTAGCGCCTTCTAACGATTCATAACATTTTTGACATTAAAATTTAGAGCTTGTCTTATCTTATCTTAAAACTTTTGTTTTTTTAATTGTTTACTGTGACTTTGGATCGCCTAAAAAAAGTTAAATTTTATCTGAATCATGGGTATTTTGCCTGTAGAAGCCGCCCAAGTGGTGACATTGCCAAATTTTGGACTTTGTCATCGTTTTGTGGCTGAATGTTTGCATTTAAGCCTCACCTTTGTTCATAAAGCTTACAAACGCTATCAGAAGACTGGTTTGTTTACGCGATGTTCAGAATCTGTCGGAAATCGGGTCAGTTCTGACCGACATGATCGAATTAATGTTATGAGTTCTTTGCAAAATCGACGCCTTGGCGCTTTTCAACTGCGGCATAAGCTATCAAATGTACAAAAGGTGGCTGAAAGTGGCTCTTTAATCAGAAGAAGGTTAAAGGAACGTAGACTGGTACCGCAATGGCCAGGAAACGGGCCCAAATCAACTGCAGACACGAAGTCAAAATCTGTCATGCCGTCGGCGCTGATTCCTTCCGAAACCGTTCACGAACTGTCACCATAACTGACCTTTTTATCAATGCAGCATTGTGTAAAGCATTTTTAATCCCTTCTGTAAACCATAGTGCTTCCGTGGTTACCATTCAGTGTAATTCTACACTCAGCAGAAAAGAGGAATTTGATCCACTGGGTATACGACCCGTTTAGGTGCTCACTTGCAAAGTTAAGGCGCGCTATTTAATTGTCTTCAGTTGATTTGGGTCCGTTTCCTGGCCATTGCGGTACCAGTCTACGTTCCTTTAACCTTCTTCTGATTGTAGAGCCACTTTCAGCTACCTTTTGTACATTTGATAGCTTATGCCGCAGTTGAAAAGCGCCAAGGCGTCGATTTTGCAAAGAACTCATAACATTAATTCGATCATGTCGGTCAGAACTGACCCGATTTCCGACAGATTCTGAACGTTGCGTAAACAGACCAGTCTTCTGATAGCGTTTGTAAGCTTTATGAACAAAGGTGAGGCTTAAATGCAAACATTCAGCCACAAAACGATGACCAAGTCCAAAATTTGGCAATGTCACCACTTGGGCGGCTTCTACGGGCAAAATACCCATGATTCAGATAAAATCTAACTTTTTTTAGGCGATCCAAAGTCACAGTAAACAATTAAAAAACAAAAGTTTTAAGATAAGATAAGACAAGCTCTAAATTTGAATGTCGAAAATGTTATGAATCGTTAAAAGGCGCTAACTGCAAACGTGTCTCAGTCATTCATCTCATTTACAGAACAAACAGGTGGGGTTCCAATTTTGAATTTTGAATTTTTTTATACACACTGAAAAGACAAAACTGCCAGCTACACAGTCATATTTTTTTTTTAATGCAAACAATACTTTTTGGTGTTTAATTCGGCCGAAAACAAGAAAAACCAAGGTGTTTCGATTTTTTTGATGGGAAGTGTATTCTTTGGTTACTAGTGACGCACCTGCGATACGATGCAGACCTTACTAAGAAGCTGACTCTACTTGCGCGCGACCTTGAAGCGTTGTCAGTACTGGCTATCGATAAGCTTTCAATAACCATTATTTGTACCTTATGTGAATCATAGATCAAGCTGGCGCTTAAATTTTTTATTTCTACATAGCAGATCTTGTGTTAATTTTGCAGTAGCGTAGTAATACAGGGTTATTTTTTAGTCAGTGCGCAAACTTTGCAGGATGTTTCTACTCGTGATTCTGAACAACTTTTACTATGGGGCCACCTGCGAAATCTAAAAAAAAAAATTTTGGTTGTTCCATACATTTTTGCAGAGTAGTTATGAATTTTTCTATAGAACAACCAAATTTTTTTTGCGAATTCGCAGGTGGTCCCATAATAAAATTTGTTCAGAATCACGAGTAGAAACACCCTGCAAAGTTTGCGCACTGACTAAAAAATAACCCAGTATACCGGGAGTAACGGAAAGGGTATAACAAGCCGAAAGGAGGTCAAGGTACTCATGAAAATGAACAACTTTCTCCATGGAACATGGGTCGAAATATGAAAAAAAAATTTGGACCTCCCATTAGTAAATTAGTTAGCTGATCGGCGATTTTGTATGGAAGGTCCAAATTTCTTTTTCATATTTCGACCCATGTTCCATATAGGGAAAGTTGTTCAGTTTCATGAGTACCTTGGCCTCCTTTCGGCTTGTTATACCCTTTCTGTTACTCCCGGTATATTTTTTCACTTTGTGGCAATATTTCGTCCACTGGGCATGGACACCTGAAGTAGCGATAACGGAGCTCGTGGGATCCAGCAGATGTCCGTGGGACGCGTGAGAATCGCGTGACCAGCTCATCTCGTTAGGGCTGCCCATTATCAGAACACAACGTAATATAGTCGAAGGGGTTGCGGCCAATATCACTTTGAATGACCCTACAATAGCTTTTTGATGTAGTTGAAACTAAAAATTAATAATTAGTACTATTGCCGGTATACCTGTGTGATTACCTCATTTATACCTGT